ATCGGGACATTCCAATTTTCAACGCGAGTGTTGAGTGTTGAAGTCAACAATTTGACGTCATCAACGACGTTCCAACTCGAGTACGAAGTGCTTAGTTCCCATAATTCCATTCTCAGCAAGATGGATTCCATTCAAATGTCTTACCAATTACCCACAATTCATTGGAAAGTAGCAGTCAACATATCTGTTGAGTGCTGAGTGTGTTGAGTCAGCGCTGACAACAGCGCTACCTCAACGTTGAAAAAAGGAACGAATTTTAACGAATGTTGAGATCAGCGCTGAGTCAGCGTTGAAAATTGGAATGTCCCGTATGTAAATTAGGTACTGTAAGTCTAATACAGTACTGTAATTTTATACATTTCTTGTGAAAGAAACATTTCTTATTCAACGGCGATTAAAATTATTTATATTAATGATGTCTCCAAAGTTCAACGAAGTTTTCGCAGAAAAATAATTTATCAGAAAACGCGGCCGCCATTTGGTGCGCTGCTCCGCGACGAAAACAAGCTTAAGCAATGGCGACGTCGAACGGTGCACACTCGGTAAGTAATTCTACATTTTTTTGTTTATAGCATAGTTTATACGGATTATTCCCAAAAAATATACGTATTTTGAAAATGTTGAGTCGGCTTAGTCTAGGAATCGACTAATTTTATGGAAGAAAACCTTTCAAACACCCGTAGTCAGTAAACTTCACACGTGTCGGGCTGTGATTGGCAAGGTCTCCTAAAACATCAATTTCATAAAAAACGGAACGTATCTACCGTGTTATGGGGGTCGACTGTATTTTTTAAAAATTAAAATGAGTGTAATCTAGGTACGCTATTCCGTCACAGTTGGTTGAATCATGTGTTGAGAGTTTGAGAGGAATAAATTAAATGTTGAGAATGACATGAGGTTGGCTTTAACAAAAACTCACCCGCGAATTTTAAGGCTGGTTAATAACATACAATTTCAACAATCGCATTAAATTATTAGACATAATTTAAAATAAAATTATACTAAAAACTAATTTCGTTGTTTTTTTAATTACCTAATTAAAAATGTCTTTTTCAATAGTATCGGGGTCGCGGGTCACTTGGCTTTTATAAAAAGGGGTCGCCACCCGAAAAAGGTTGGGAACCGTTGCTCTAGACTGTAATAAAGTCGTCAGACTTTATTATAGTTCAGCCGTCTAAGCCTGCTGGATACTTGCAAACCAGATGTTCATAAGTTCTATAGAAATGAATTTATATGTATGATAATATAAAATTATGAATAACATACCAGCATTTATGGTTGTTGACTAAAATATTATATATTTACAAAAATTTATACAATTGAAGATTTTAAAATAATCAAAAGAAATTTTTTTTTATAAATATATGATTATTCTGTTATATATGTTACACAGATAGGTCTATATTCTCACAAATAAAAAAATTGCAGCTATCTAATCCAATGTAGGAAGATAATACGGCGTATAGTTTATAACGCTGATCGGCGTGAAGGTGGGTGGTGGGTTTTGTAAATCCAGGTCAATACGCTTTGTAGTATCGATGCCGCATATTTGATCCTATGTATATGTTATTTACACCATTATAATAAGAGTAGACTATAATAATCGATTATTACCTTATTATATGAACAATTATATACCTATTTTTTACGTATTTACGAAAGTACTGCAAAAACCGGAAATAATAAGTTTCTGGATACATTCTTTGACTAGAAGCTTCTGATTAGACATCTTCTACTCTAAGTACATTCAAATAACATGAAACCTAACGAAATTACAGGTAGAAGTGATGAAAATAACTTTTTTCAACGTTTATTTACATTCTTACTCTTATCATGTGACTTTGAAAGCCATTGGTTCTTCGCGGAAAAATCCTGAACGAACAGTTCTATAAAAACACACATTGGTTGATAACCATTCAGTCATAATAAAAATGACCAACTAGAGCGTAAAAGGCGTACAAATAAGAACTTGAAAGCCAATTGACATCAAGAAAAGTTTCCTTACAATTACTATAGTAAGGTGGAGTTTTCCAGGAATATTTATTGCTAAACGGTTTTGAAAACACTTTTACTCGTCTAAATACTGTCAAATCTTTTCTTTAGCAAATTGTAGATAAAAATCAAACAAAACTAACCATTTTATAGCGACTGTTTACATATTTACACAATCGTAGCTCCATAAGCGTGGCATTTAGCTGCAATTTTAGTTTGTGTTTTCAAAGGTTGGTGATTCGCCGAAATAATATCTCAACAAATACAGAAATGAACCAATTACAGTTCTAAAAAGATTACTATTGATTTTATCAGCCAATAATCTGTCTTCTTGCCGCTAATTACTTTACAATAATAAGGGACAGACTTTCCCGAAATATTTATGGCCTGGGGCAGTGAGAAAACATTTATTGGTTTAAACAAATACAAGAAAGCAAATCAAAGCTTAGATAGCTACAAACTTCATTTCATTTTTTACATTACCTTCATTATATATTTTGTGGTTAACTTTTTTAATTATTTTATCGCTAACCGACGAATGGCAGCTTCTCGGCAAAACTAATAATAGTACAAAGAAGCCGAATTGCAGGGAGCCCCTGTAAAGTTGGCTATCCAAAGGAAAAGATGCCATTTAGGAACCAATTTTAACAAATTGAAAAAATTCGAATGAAACTTTTTTCCAGATAAAATAGATGCTTTCTTTTAAATAATAATAAACAATTTTTTCATTTGAAGCCATTCTTTTTAATAGTTCGTACGTTGAGGGGTTAAATGAATAATGTTTTAGAGAGTACATTATTATTGAGGTTTATTAACGTAAAGTTCATTCCAGATACTTCTAAAATTGATTTCTATTCAAATCTTACCTTAGATTTTGTCATTTTGTTTACTTATCATATTATATTACTTCAGTAAAGATTATGACTAATTTGCATATTTTCATGTAGCTAAATTCATTTTTCTACATGAAAATTAAGTCAACAGTATTAAGTTCAGGCTTCTAATCTTGCATTAAAATGTCTAGGCAAGGAGAGAACACAACAGTATTTTCTTCATTGCTTATTCCATGATGACATTTTACTTTTGTCTTAAACAAAAATAATATTGATATATGTGAATATTTTTGCAAAGCCTCAGTTATAGGTTTTTATGAGTAATGCATTAATTAACATAAGTATCTATAACTTATTAGTATTGGTAATTTAAGGGCACTACTAATTATTTTTAGATTTTCTTAGTGTTTATATTTAAAAGAGATGTATTTTGAAGAGTATAAAAATGTTTTACTGACATATTAGTTTATCATCGGATTTGAAAGATCACTTATAAATTTATCCAAATATAGTTTGCTTATTTATGCAGTTTCTGTTCATGCTGAGAGTTTTTTTAGCACAGCTGGAACAGCCATTAACCAAGCATGAAATAGATTATTAGGAAAAAGAATAGATAAAATCCTATTTGTAGCAGATTGCAATTAAAAGGAATTTGGTTTCTAATAATCATGCAATAATCTGGTTTCTAATTATAGAAACTCCTGATCTTTGTATTATATAATTGAGTAAAATTAGCATTAATTTTAGAGATGTATTTCATTTATCTTATATGAAATTATTTAGTATAATAGTTACAGAATATTGTTCTTTATCCATAGATAGGGTGACCAGATTTTTTTTGGCAAAACTGGGACACATGTCAATTGTCACAGTTTAGAGTACACAGTCACAGTCTACGTGTATAAGTATTATCAAATGGGTACTGTATGTATGCATAACAGACCTAAACATTTTAATTTTGATTGAGCTCATTTGTTTCACTCAAATAGCTCTCCTCCAATAAGGTTTATAGCTATTTACTTTTGGAATTTTTTTTTAGCTATATTTTTGTCTGTATTTTGAAATTTGGCTCCTTTATGACATTTCTTCAAAAAATTGGTTACTTCATTAAAAAATTACTTGGAAATTCTGAAGACATTGGACACATCCTCTGGTGGAAAAACTGGCAGTAACAATATTACAGTAACAACAAAGAAACAAAAAATGGGGACAAAACTCCTTTCTGAGGTGCTTCCTTGCCAGGGACAGAGGATCAAAAGCGGGGAGTGTCTCTGGAAATTGGGGACAGATTGTCACCCTATGTACTGTATGTACTCTCCTAAATTTAGAATGTAAATAGTGATTGTAAAGGTCTACTACACATAGTATTCTGCAAAGCGTGTGATAAAGATGTGACCATTTCCATTTAATAACCACCAATGTTTAGATAGTCTGTACTTGTGAAAATTGTCAATTCAATGTATTGTGTCACTGCATAATAGTCAAGTTTAAACAAAGAACTTCTCTTTTTCAGTTTATCCAGATCAGCAATCTGGCAAAAAGAGGAGCAGTAAATTTGATAAAGTATCAATAGAATAAACCTTACAAGAACTGCATTCATGTTTTTGGAGTAAAACCAGAAAAAGCTTTTTTTTACCATGATACAAAACTGCAATGCAATAAGGAGGAAATGGTGAAAACACGTTTTCTTGCATCCTCTTTGCAGCCTAGACAAATTAGACTTGTTCTCAAAATTAAGTACAGGTAANTCAAAATCAATACTTTATTGATTTTTTATAATTGAGTTTGTTATTATCACAATCAATAAAATATAATTTACTATTACTAAAAGTTAATACTTAATTTTCTTTTAGAGAAGCATGTAAGTACATTCAAGAACATATGACTATTAATGTTGATGAATTAGGGCGAGAATGTATTATTAATGCTGCAAAAACTTCAATGTCTTCAAAATTGATTGGACCGTATCCTTTTGTATTTTGGTAATGTGTTTTCAGGAATAATTAATAACTAAATTTATTAAGAAATAAATATATCATTATGCTAATTTATTTCAATTTGATTTTCAAATTACACAACATATTTTATAAAACAAAAATGTTGAGTTTGATCAAAAATTTAATTGTTACTTACATATTTACATTTTATTTAATATGAGGAATTTGAAGAATGAAATATGGCTTAAAATTAAAATTTATAATGCTTATACATCTGGCAGTATTATTTAGAATTGTAAAAGGAAAAGCAGTTTGCCAAGTAAAGACATTTTTCATTTTTCAAAAAATACAAACATGCTACAGTAGAATCTCTTTTTAATGGATCACTTAGGCCACTGAAAATCATCTGCTGTTTGAGAATCCATTGTCATGAGCAATGGATTTCTCACACAGTCAGAAAAATATTCATTTGAAAAAATTATTATTTAACTTCCTACATATAAGAAATATCTGAAATTGAAGTTACATATTTGCTAAAAGGGGGTAAAATTACATTGATTTGGAGGGACCTGGGAAAAAATCTGTTGTTCTGTGAACTATTAAAACAAGATTCTACTGTATATGAAAAACCATTAGTTATCTTAGTTTTCTGTCAACCACTTGGTCATGAATAATGAAATTAAGTACTTGAACAAATAGGTTTTATGGAAGTTAAATCAAATAAGGCTCAATTTACTATTTAAACTTTGTATTTAAGGATCGATAGTTTTTTCTATCCACAAGCAGCATTTCTCCTTTTCATGTAATTCCAATTTATTTACATTTTGTGTTTATTTGAGGTTATTGAGATTTTAAGACACAAGATAAGCTTTCTCTTTTTATAAAAGTTTCAGATATTTTGATTTGTCCAAATCATAACTTGACTCTTAATTAATTTAAAGACAATCCTCCTCCTCCCTCCGCCTTCACGATTTCCTTTCACAGGAAATCCGGGTTGTCGCTTCTCTGTCAATAATGTCGATCCACTCGCTTTTTTAAAATTATTTTTTTATTTAAATTTGATGAATGTAATTGTTAGCGAGACGAATCGTTACGCACTGCAACAGCCACAATCATCCAGGCATCAGTGGGAGCCTGTTACAGTGGCCGACATATATACGTTTCTGGCTATCTGTATCTTGCAGGGAATTGTAAAAAAACCAAATGAGAGAATGTATTGGTCCACCAAAGATTTATTTAACACACCAATTTTTTGTAAACTTTTGCCTAAAAATAGATTTGAAGAGATAAAGCAAAATTTGCACTTTTCGGATAATGCATTATTTGATTCGTCCACCCATCCATCTCCTAAATTGAACAAAATTTTGGCCATAGTAAATGATCTAAATTCTAAATTTTCGCGTTTATACGAACCAGAGAGAGCCATAACGGTGGACGAGTCTCTCTTACTATTCAAAGGTCGTATCTCTTGGAGACAATACATACCTCTCAAAAGGTCACGCTACGGTGTGAAATTTTTTATGTTGTGTGAATCTTCATTAGGCTATTTACACAAATTTATAGTTTACACTGGAAAAGATACTCTACTAGATCCTAAATACAATCAAATGCAAATAACTTCCCAAATAGTATTATCGTTAGTGGACCCATTGTTGAACAAGGGCCACTGCCTCACAACTGATAATTACTATACCTCTCCTCAGTTAGCCGATTATTTGATATCCCATACACTCCAGATATATACGGAACACTCCGTCTGAATAGAAGAGATATTCCAGATATGATAAAAAGAAAAAAATTTAAAAAGAGAAATATTGGCACAAGAGAGGGGAAAGGTTATGATTCTAAAATGGGAAGACAAGAAAACTGTCACATTATTATCTACAGTTCACAATGCCAAACTTAGTAAACCAACACGTGTTGGTACCGTTCAAAGAAAGCCACATGTTGTCCTTGATTACAACGATACAATGGGAGGAGTTGATCGTTTAGATCAACAGCTTCATGATTACCCGGTGGCAAGGAAAAGAGGGAAAAAATATTATAAGAAAATATTTTTTCATTTATTTGATATTTGCATTTATAATTCTTTTGTCCTTTATAAAAAAAATGGCAGGAACAAAAAACATTTAGCATTCAGAGTAGAACTTATTGAACAGCTCATCAAAGAATTTCACACNTAAAGTGCCAAATATTAGTAAAAATCATACATGAGCACAGGATTAAAAAAATTGAAAAAAATAAAGACAATACGAACAATGTTCAAATCTTTTAAATCTTTCACTCCATTTGGGAACTAAACAGTGAGCAACTTGAAGCCAAAAACTTCATAAAATTGGCCGACAAACACTATTAAAAATTACACATTAAAAATGATCTTGACATTGACCTTTCATTTAGGATTTGATGTCTATAGAACATTAAAAAGATGTTAAAATTTTTACAACAGCATCCACATCATATAATTGCACTTATTAACTCAAAACCCTCTGGTGGATTTTTTGGGCAGTTAAGGATCATTTACATAATCATGATGTTGAGATCATTTTTAATAGTGTTTATTAGTCAATTTTATGAAATTTTTTTCTTCAAATTGCCTACTGTTTAGTTCCTGAATGGAGTGAAAGAGGATTTAAAGAATTTGAACATTGTTTATATTGTCTTTATTTTTTCATTAGTAAAAATGTTTTCCTTTTTTTATATCCTTATTTATAAAGCAGAATCTGATGTTTAAGTATTTGTATCATAATACTATTATAAATATAGATTAAGTAAAGCATTTTGCTGTATTTATTGCTACTTTTTGCTTTTCACTCTAGAAATTAATTTCACAGTACAAAATAAGATCTTAACAATAAATAGAGATGCAGACTTTTTTGCTGAAATGGTAGTGGATGCTGCCATGGCTGTGAAAGTGTCAGATGGAAAAGGTGGTTTCAAGTATCCAATTAAGGCTGTAAATATTTTAAAAGCCCATGGCCGTAGCACTAGAGAGAGTATATTGGTGCAAGGATATGCATTAAATTGCACTGTGGCATCACAAGGTAAATGTCTGTTTTGACAAGAATTTAAATTTTACAAAATTTTAAAAAATTATATTTTGTGTTAATTAACTAATTTTTTTTTAGCTATGCCAAAGAAAGTAGCACCTGCTAAAATTGCTTGCCTTGATTTTGGATTACAAAAAGTTAAAATGCATTTAGGTGTTCAAATTTTAGTAACTGATCCTGAAAAATTAGATGCTATTCGTCAGAGGTAAGGAATGTTGATTGTTTTAAATTCATAATTAAACTATAATACTTAAACTATTAATATGGCTTGATTAGATTGCATGTAATTGCAGATACTCTAAAGTAGTAATCTATTATAAATTGAAACTATGTAATTAGTATTAAATTTTTCAGAAATTTGGGTGATAAATTTCTAATTGGCAAATGGTAATCAAACTTACAGGATCATCATTACCATTTGTCAAGTATTATTATTTATAAATATTAGGATGTAACTGAAAACTGTATACTGCATATACTGAACAGACTTAAATTAAAATTACTTCATTATAAAAGCTAGTAAAAGAGAACTGTTCCGTAAAGAATTTCAACACTGCTAATCTCAGAATATTGAGATAGTTCCTGAAGATTATCAATTTTCACCTGTTAGATGGCTGTTATCTCTAATTGATTATGATTTGATAATTTTTATATCTGTTAAATAAAATAGTGTACATTACATTTTAAAAATTCTTAATGCGACAGTTACAAGTATTAATTTATACAGATTAGAAAGTGTAAAGTGGTTTAAGTATTATGTTAAAATTAAATCAAATATTGGATATAAATTTTGTGAAATTATTTTCCATAATATATACAGTTTAAACAATTGTTACATTGCAGTTTAAACAATTGTTTTAAGAATTAAGAAGTGCCTAATTGCCAAATTTCAGTTTAGTTGTTTTAGAGTTATTGTAATTACCTCTCCATATTTTTTACTATAATACTATAAATGTTAAATGCTTGAGACATAAAATTTCTTTAAATTTAAATTTTTATGTAAAATGGTTAACAAAACTGAGAATAATAAGAAATACCATATTGCTGCTTTTGCAGACTTTTTAAATTTAAGAAAGTCATTTTAAGAGAATAGATTTATATTCAAGAGAAATACTGCAGTAGAACATTAATTATTCAAATACCAGTTAACCAAAAGCGTTCCAGTAGGCAAAATCAAATTTCTGCAAGTGCTGTGGCGCTGCAATATTTGTTTGTCTTGGACTACTCCAATATTATTTTTGTTGGTGTCTGTGTTTTAGCTGGCAACACTAATGCGTCCATGAGAGGGACTTAAGGGCGCATCAGTATTTGAATGAAGCTTTTTTCCCCCATCATTAGTGGTGAGTTTTGCTTATTTTGTGTGGTGTTTTTCTAAGGACTGTGTGTCGTGCTGAATCAGAATCTGTTTCCGTTGGGAACATTAATTTTGGATTTGTGAATTCCATACTTGTAACAGATCATGCTGTAATTGTATCATTTGCAATGACAACTAAACATAAACACATTGTTCTCAGTGTTTCTGATAAACTTAAAATAATAGATCAGTTGGAGAGTGTTACTAGTGGATCAAGCTAGCTCAGGAATATGGAGTTGGAAATGCCACAATATCAGACATTAAAAAGAACAGCAATGCCATTAAAAAATTTGCAAGTGTACTTGACAGTGAAGATGGAAGCTTGCACAAAAAAACAATGAAAATGGCAGAAACCAGAATTTGGACACTGCAGTTTACACATGGTTCATGCAGGTAATAGCTGAGGACTACCAATAAGTGGCCCTTTGATTTGTGAAAAGCTCTTGAAATGGACAAGAAACTAGGGGGCAATGCTGATTTTAAATCAGCATTACCCTGACTACTGACTGGCTTATGTGTTTCAAATCTAGGCATGGAATTAGGGAATTGGACATCCAGGGTAAAAAACTGTTGGCTGATGCTGAATCAGCTGAATATTTGAAAGAGTTTTTTAAAAACATGATTGATTGATAAGGAGGGCTATAAAAAAAAAACCAATGTCTACAATGCAAACAAAACTGGTTTGTACTGGAAGAAAATGCCAACAAAAACCCTAGTTTCTAAGAATGAAATGTCAGCACCTGGTTTTAAGACAAGCAAATCATGCATCACTGTGTTGGAAAATATGTAGAAATGTTACTGGAACACACAGGCTGCCTTTGCTAATTGTAGGAAAGTTTAAAAATCCATGGTGCTTTAAAGGAATAAAAACATTTCCAGTTACCTACAAAGATTAAAAGAATTTGTGGATGGATACAACCATTTTTATAGAATGGTATAACATTCTATAAAAATTCCTGAAGTCGAAAAGCATCAGCTTAAAACTGGGAATTCTGGAAATGTTTTGTTATTGATTGATAATGCCCCAAGTCACCCCTCAAACATTTCATTTAAAAGAGAAAGTGGAAAGTTTAAAGTTGTTTTCTTGCATCCCAATGTTACTTCACTCCTCCAGCCGATTGACCAGGGGTTCATTGGTAGCTTCAAACGATATTAATTAATTAAAGAAAGGCATTGCTTCGTATGGTAATGATCAGGGAAGAATGTTCAGCAGGTGTATGCTGAAATTAACTTAAAGGATGCTATGTACTGTACATGGCAGCAGAAGCTTGGGCTACTGTCAAGGACACTACACTAGCAACAGCTTGGAATAAACTTCTACCATCAGAGGAGTCTATCGCTGCACCTGAAGAGCCACCAAACAGCCAATTTGTATCACAACTGTTTGGGCTAATTAAAGAATGTTCTGGATTTGAAGAATGTGACAACGAAAACATTCAAGACTGGCTCGAGTGTGATGTCGATGACCGTGGCTATCAGGTATTGTTGGACAATGAAATCAGTGTTATCAACGACCAAGACCATTGCGACGATGAGGAAGCGTTTAACGACAATGACTGTGCTGAAAAAGGACCATCCAGTGAGGAAGTTTTTCACTGTCTTGAGACAGCTATGAAGTGGTTAGAACAGCAAGAAGAATGTGATGCTATCCAATTGCTGTCTTTAAAACGTATGCGAGATTTAGCGGCAAAAAAAAACTAGTCTCAGCTGTGAAGCAAAAGACAATTTTGGATTTTTTTTCTTAAACTGTAGGCCTACTTTATGTAAGGTATGTAACTCTTTTCTGCATAGGAACAGTTTTGATACTAGATTAACTTTTGAAATATAAATTTTTTTTTGTTTTTATATTTTATATTTTTCAATATATTTTTGTTTGTGCAAAATAAAGAAATAATTTTTAAAGATACAATAGCCATGATTATTATTTTTTAAAAATTTTTTGTTAAGCTTAACATTGACAAAAATTCAACGTGAAGTGACCTGCAATGGAGAAAAATTTCAACGTGGGATAGGTTAATATATTTTTTTGTACATGATAAGTAATCTGAATAACCTCAGTCTCGAATTGTTTCGGATAATTGATGCTCTACTATATATTAATTTATATTTTGTAAATAGAAAACTTTGATGATGCAATCAATCGATCATTGGAATGATAAAAGTACAATAAATTACCAAAGGAAATTTAGACCCATTTCAGTTCTGTCTATTTTTTGATATGCATCATGGAAATTTGGTGTCTGTTACAAGTTAAAATTGTTAAAGTTTTTGTGATCATGCATTGTTTAGAATGTTACTTGCATCCTTCTTGAGATAGATTAATGTAACAACTAAACAAGTGATAAATAATTGCTGCATGTTTGGGTGCCACAATGTTAATTTTCATTGTTTTCAAAAAAACAAAGCTCAAAGAAACTGTTGAAACTATATGTTGTAACTTTAAATAGCTTAATAAAGTTTGTCATTTTAAATATGAAAAGTGCTACAAGTGATGGATTTTTTTTTTTGTAAGCAGTATAGTAAAAATTTCAATAGTTTCAGTATAAAACAAGCTGAGCAACTCGGGGATCATTCATAAATTATGTAACACGGTGACACGTGATAGTTAATTAAATACAGTTTACTTTTCAACTACCATGTGTAACCTTATTTTATTTCCAAAGTTCGTTTTAATATAAAAATTATGGCACAATGACATCTAGTATCAAAAAGTTCTGATGCAGAAACAAATATGTTCAGGGTCATCCGGGCAGGTTAAAAAGAGTTGATTTAAAGAGCCTGAAATTACATAATATTCCTGTAAACACTCCCACCTCTTGTAATGCATTGTAAAGATTACCTGAATACCTAGTCATTCATACCTAAATTTTACATAATTTATGGATAGCCAGTCCTTCAATGTTTTTTTAAATAAAATTTCTAACCTAGAATGAATGCTGTAACTGGTAGTAGATTTAATAACAATGTCAGCTGAGATGTACTTTTTAAATGTATCAAATTTAGATAAAGATTAATTTATTGAAATTCATTGGCAGTTATTTCACCAATGATTTTTATTTAGGCTTAAAATTATTTTAATTTAGGGAATCTGACATCACCAAGGAGAGAGTTCAAAAAATTCTTGCAGCCGGTGCTAATGTAATATTAACTACAGGTGGTATTGATGACTTGTGTCTGAAGTATTTTGTAGAAGCTGGAGCAATTGCAGTTCGTCGCTGTAAGAAAGCAGATCTCAGGAGAATTGCAAAAGCAACAGGAGGTCAGTAATATAACTTAAAACACATTTTACATTCTTAAATACAATTTTTAATGATTTTTTTTCAAAGCTTTATTTAAAATTCCATATTAAACAATAATTATTGAAAATGAAAAACAGGTAGGTAGATATATAATAATTAAAGGAAATTAATAAAACTGTAAGTATTAACTGATCATTTTATAACAACATTAATTTTGCTAATGAGTGGTTAAAAAAACAAGTTTTTTTTAGAACATTTACTTGCAGACTACATATAAAATTCTTGTATTCAATTAAAGCTTTTTGTCTTAAATGTACAGGTAGGCCTCCTACAACGCGGTAGATACGTTCCTTGAAAATACTGCGTTGTGGGAAATCGTGTTATAGGAGACGCCAACTTAATACAAAAACTGGGATTCGGTTCTAAAAAAGAGAAAAAATTGGCGTTTGAATGGCGTGTTTTGAATTTTCCAAACCAGCCATTGCTTGTTTTAAATAAACAAATATTTTTAAGGCTTTGTGTTTAAGTGCAGTTTTATTTAAAGGCACCCGTTTCTTGTTCATATCTTCTACCCATAATATTAGCGCTTGTTCCATTTTTTTCATTATAGGTGCTCTCAGACGAGCAACATTTTTTGCAAGAATAGATGATCCGGATGCGACCAAATTTCTGATTTTTTCTCCTGATTGCTTAATCGACCAAATAGTCGACTCATTTAAATTAAAATGCCTACCAATATTAGCTATTCGCTCTTGATTTTTAATTTGATCCAAAATTTCTATCTTTGTTTAAAGAGTTATAAATTTCCTTTTTAATGACGGCCCTTTTCATTTGGCATTGTTATGGCTAAAATTTTTTCAATCAGTTTTGTGGACAGTAAAAATCTCAAAAAAATAACTTCCTTTCACTATGTTGTTAAAAATATACACCCAATAGAAGTTTATACTGTATTTTGGACCACTTTTGCAATCCCCACTTATTGAAAGAGTATAAATGATCAAAAATTTAGTGATATATTTGAGTGTTTATGGTAACTGATGCACATCTGTCTAGTAACCGGTTTTCCCCTGAAACTTTCAAGGGAGTAACACGCCAACGTCGACAAACAGCTGTTTATCAAAGACTTTTAGCTCTGTATACGAGACTGCGGCTCATACCACGTGATCCGTTGCGATTTTTCTGTAATGTGAAGATAATTCATTTCTAATTACCATTGTAAAAGTACTGTGTTGTAAGAAAATTTCCGCATTTTTCCAACCGCATTGGAGCGAAAACGCGTTGTAAAGGTATCGCGTTGTAGGAGGCCTACCTGTATTCACTTTAGGATTCCTCAAATACCTAAATTTGTGGAGATTTATCACACTTATTAGGAACATTACAATGACACTTTGATGTTTAATAAGCAATTTTTATTACTGGTATGCATTTCAGTCATGAAGATCCTCTTCAGCCGTACATGAATATATCCATAGATTTGCAGCAGATCTCTTCTATACAAATTTGGCATAATGCTCCCATTATACATTGCTGATAACAGTGCCGTAACTAGCAAATTCTCGCACAGGGCAAGAATTTGCGTTTAGGCCCCTTTAATTAATTAGGTTTGGGAAAATAATAAAACAAATACATACATTTTGAGCCCCCCTTCCAAGTAGGCCCTGTGCAAATGCACCTGTTGCACCTGTTGCACCTGCCTAGTACAGCACTGGCTGATAACATTATGCCAAATTTGTATACTAATAGATCTGATAAGCCTCCACATAGATATCTGCATGAATTTAGTGTTTGAGGAATCCTAATGTGAAAATTTTTGTATATTTAATTAATCATCCAAAATGTTTATTGGTGCAAACAACTCATTTATAACACTATACTTTGAATGAATTTGCAACTTATCCAAAATGATTTTAACATCAATGCCATGCTTTTATTGGTTCATCACTAGAATGATGTTTTGACGGACTGAGGCATTGTTCTTTGATGTCTTGTAGGACCTCTCTAAAGTATTTGGTTTTGAAATTTCAGATTTTTCTAATAATTTTAAGATGACATTGAGTATATTGTTTATTAGAAAGAAGTCTGCTTCTACTCAAGCCTTTCATATCAGTGAGCCAATGAAGCTATAGTATATAGATATGAAAATACTAAACACAAATTTATTGTCAGTTTAATAAATTCAATTAAAATAAACATTTTTATACATTTCAATGATTACAGAAAGTAGTGGCCTGAATTTAATATGTGGTCAAAATATTTTATGAGAATATTTATATATTAGTATGTATAAATATTTAAAATATTTTTTTTGTATTAAATATTATTATTATTTTTTAGCTCAGTTATTAGTTAGTATAGTTAATACTGATGGAGAAGAAAGTTTTGATGCAACAATGCTAGGAGAGGCTGAAGAAGTTGTCCAAGAAAAAATTTGTGATGATGAATTAATACTTATTAAAGGGTAATTGTTTTTCTTTTTAAAAAATTTTCCAATAAACGGATTAACTTTAAAATAGTTAAATTTCCAAAATTGGCTATTAATATTCACATTGGCACACAAGAAAATTTTTGCACCTGGACTAGTTAAGATGAATAGTTTATTTTACTTTTATATTTAACTAGCAGTTGATGTATTATTACATAAACATATGTTCACAATCAAAATGAGCTACAAATGCACAGCATCAAAGACCTATTAACACCTTTTCATTAACTTTAAAGAAAAATTAATCTGTAAAACAAACAAAGAAAAAAAACATTAACACTTGTCATGTCACATTTTACAGCAGTCTTGAACATCATGCTTGTCTATGGATGGAAGATATGTTGCAGATTCAAAGTCCATTCTTAGCCATATTTATCCCCAGCAGGACATAGTGTTTGATGTCAGCTGTGATTATATCTGTTAGAAATTACTGTGAAGTAATGAAAGTATCTTCAATTGCCTTCATTGCTGCTTTGTCGCTTTCACCACACTTGAATTCCAAAAGCAACATATCATTGTCTTTGAGCAGCAGTGTGTCTATAAATCCTTTTTACATTTCCCATCACCGGATGTAGAAGGAAAGTAAACTTTGGTACCAAAGTTAAATCCCAAACCATGAACAAGGATGCTCATTGTGCAACACATGTTCTCTTCATTACTTGTAATCAAGTGGCTGCTTTTTTTTGTAAATGTACAGTATTCAAGATCTGCACAAAAATTGTTGAACTCTTCATTACCACATTCCTTCCCAGCCAGTTTCCCAATGAAACGTCTACACCTTTCAACTTCAACAGGCATTTTATCTTGACCAAATAACACAACATTAAAGGTTTCTAGTTTTCTTCTTATTACTTCTACGAGTTGACTGTTGGGTATCACTACCTGTATAAGTTTGTCCTTCATATATGAATGATACCCTTGCTTGAGCATAAATGAAAAGAAGAGGCTGGTTTGAGAATAACTGACATTCATAGGGTCAAATTCTTTTATCTTCACCAACTTAAGAACACCTTCAATAGACGTGGTTTTCTTAACCTCACCAATTCTTGTTCTCCAGAAGTTTTGTTTCAATCATTTCCATAATTACAGGAAATCTAAACACTCCACTCAGATCTACAATCATTCCAGTATCCTGCCACTTGTAAGATTCATGCGTCTTGCGTACATATTCTAGGAGAAATCATATGTTATACATTTCTGTACCATCTTTACTTCTTTATCCATTGAATTTCTGTTTTGCATCTTCAAGTTTCTTATCATCCAGCTTGTGTGTGTCGTGAAATAGACTCTTAATTTCATCATGTGTCAGTCCATAGTAAGGCACAAACAAATGGTTTGCCAGAAATGTAAATGGCTTTACATTTGAAGCACTCACCCATTCCTGAGATGTGAGAAATTCCAGTAATGAAGGCATATGCTATCAATTTTTTCCAGGTTTCTCTTTGACAGCTGTTGTAACTATAGATGTACAGTCCTTAATGACACACTTCAGCTCATTTTTATCCTGTATCATCAGTATTGTGCTTGTTATAACTGCATTGTATTCATTTACCAGCAGCACTATCTTTCTGCCAAAGTGCTTAAACTTGGCCAAGGTTTTTAAATCCTTAAGAATCTCAAGTCAATCTACTGTCTTTGTGATGATCCAACCTTTCTTACACCATTTTGCATATTTTTTTTTTTTTTTTTTTTTTTTAATCCTCCAAAGAGTCACTGGATTTCAAATATTTGTGGTCTTGGAAAGCAGCACTTATGCTCATCAAACAAGCTCCAATTGCCTCATCATAATCCTTGATTCCTCTATCACACTGAAGCAAATGGACAGAACAGGATACTTCCCAAAGTCCTTTTTCATCAGCTTATCATTAGTTGTGATAATTAAATTATGTTGGAATAGTTTGTAGTTTTCTGCCTCTTTTACTTTCTCTTGAAATTCTTCTTCTGATAGTCTCTTATTTTTGTCCACATCTACCTGGAGCTCAAAGAAATGCTGAAGCATCACAAGATTGATGATTTTTTTCCAAACTGGTGAGGTGTTGTCACCAACACTTGGCTTCTTTCGCATTTGAAGAAAGCTTCTACAAGATTGGTCTTGTCGATGTAATATAACTCTTTCTGCCTTAAAAGTTCAACAAAGTCTGATGTCCCAAGCAGTTATGCCTGGCATTGTCTGGGAATAAAGCAAGAATGAAAAACATTAAAATGAATTCATTAAGAGTTTGGTTAATTTAGCCTACAATTGTCATGTTTGCTGCAATACTCACATGGTGTGGAATGGTACAATTTTATTGGTTGGATAGATGGATTGATGTTTTCCAACTGAAAATAGTCATTGATGTATGCCTGCATGAAAAGATAGAAAAAAATTTAGGTGTCTTGAATTAATGTTAACTGAAATGTACCATTCACAATCAAATATTTAAACTTGGCACCTTCAAGAACCCCCTAAAACATATTTTATGTTTACAGATAACTTTGCATTAAATAATTTTCCTGCTAGTCAGATAGAAATGGGGTTGAAGTTAATTTAACCAAAAGTAGTCACTGACCTCTTCCTGGATGAGAGAATGGAATCTGAAAAGTTTTATTGAGTTTGCTTTAACTGTGTCCAAATGTATAAAGAACAAACTTATATACATCACATAACATTATGATTAGAATATAACTTTTATTAAGATTTGCCAATTGCTAATTAAATTTTTTGTAGTTTATTTAATTCGTTTACAATTCATCTTGAAAAATCAATTTTTAAAACTCAAAACAGCAGTAAACTTAGCACCCTACAAATCACATTTGTTATGATTCACAATATCATTTATGAATTATGACAAAAACACTTCTGTATAACCTGAAACTAATTTAGCTTGAACAACACCCTAAATACTTTTTTCAGCAACACTTTAATTTATTTAAACAAATGTTTTTGACCCCTTTTCATAGGTCTGTATCAGGTTTAAGAAGACAGTTTGAATCTTGTTAAACCTGGCTCAGGCCTATGAAAAGTGTTTTATCATTAAGTAAACATACTAAATATTAAAAATAATTTTATATTATAACTGTTCAATTAAAATATAATTTTATTTATATTTTAAATTGTCTTGCTGACACTTAAATATTTTTTCGACCATGTGCCTCAATTTGAAATTGCCAGTCAAGCTGAGCAGATACTGGCTGGGTGGCAAACCTAACAGTGCCCTATTTTCCTAAAGTGGGGAAATTAATACTGACTGAGTGCAATCTTTGTTCTGACTACATGAAAAAAATGGCCAGATGGCAGCCTACTGCTCTAGGGACTAGGGATCAAATCTGGATGGGTTGAAAAATCCCCAGAAATTTTCCAGATATGTTGGGCCCAATCCCTCACCATCCAGCCATCCCATTGTGAGCCTCACTGAACCCATAATGGACTTGCTGAAAGATGCCCTCTTAGTGTCCACAAAGTGAAAAGAGTTTTTGAAAAAATCTACATGAAAGAAAAGTCCATCATGGCAGATGTCACCTCATGTATGAGCGTTGCATGCTTTCTGCTTTGTTGACGTGAAAACTTTCAATAAACTATTTAATTGTTAAAATTGTAATTTTAACTGAAATGAATAATTAATTTTCTTGTTAAATATAGAAGAATCAGAAATTGTGACGAGATTTACTTGATTCTGATTTCCGAAAAATGTCCAATTTTTTCCATTCTGATTAATTGTCCCATGAATAGTTAACACATTTCAGAATATGGTAAATTTATTAGTTTCACAGTTTCCTTGCATTTCTTATCTTTATTTAAATAAAAAAACAATTGTTTAAAAATATTTCTGATTTAATACACAATACTTTTTTTGTTATCTTTTTTGTAGGCCTAAAGCTCACTCTGCCAGTTCAATCATTTTACGTGGTGCTAATGATTATTTTGTTGATGAAATGGAACGTTCTCTTCATGATTCTCTGTGTGTTGTGAAACGAGTATTGGAAAGTAAAGTAGTAGTACCTGGTGGTGGTGCTGTGGAAGCTGCACTTTCAATTTATTTAGAAAATTTTGCTGCTACTTTGGTAAGAGAATTTATATAATTTATATGTTTGGTATGAAAATAACAACTTTCATTTCTAATTATAAAATATTTATTTAAAAAAATTCAATATATTTACAGAGTTCTAGGGAACAGTTGGCTATAGCTGAATATGCCAAGTCAATGCTTGTTATTCCAATGACATTAGCTGTGAATGCTGCAAAAGAAGCTACTGATCTTGTTGCAAAACTCAGAGCCTATCATAATAGTTCTCAAACAAAACCAGAGCATGCTCATTTGAAATGGTAAATTTAATTGTATAAACTAAACTAAATTAATTTTTTATTACTATGTGACTCTGAATAGTATTTGAGAATTTAATACAAAATGTTGTCTGTTCTTGTAAATCACTACAGAAACAAAGTGTTCTAATCATGAGTGCAATGAGATTGAAATTACCATGCACTATGTTTAGATTCCAGTCTCAATTTTAATTGTTTCATTGTCTTTGTTTGCTAGGGGTAGTTCTATTCATTCCACTGCAGTTTTGCAATTTAGTCGACTTTTTCTCTACATTACAGATATTTCTGTCCATGATTACAATTTCATTAATTGAAAAAGAAATTACATGTGGAGAATGAGTAAGGCAACAGGGTCATACTGAAAAGAGGCACAAATTTCATCCATAAGAAGTAATGGAAAAGCAAGCCCATTTACATAATTTTGATTTACAAGAGGTTTCAGGAATGAAGTAATATACATTCATAAATCAAGGGTTCACTGTAATTATAAATTTATACAGAATAAAATATTAAATTATTGAATACTTTTTTAAATAAATTAATCTTTTGAGAATGTCTAGGTATTTATAAAGGAGTTTACATAATTTTTTTCATATTTTTATCTTATATTTTTTCAACATTCTTATTTAAAGAAAAGCTTTCCCTCTAGATCAACCTGATCTAGAGCAGTGTTCCGCAACCGGTGTGCCGCGGCACACTGGTGTGCCGTCACATGGTGAAAGGTGTGACGTGAACTTTTACATATTCTGTTAATTTCAAGTTTTATTTATATATTTTTATCACAGTTGTTGTGTTTCTTATGCTTGAATTTCATTTTCTGCTGCAGCACTGATGAAATAAGATGATGTTTGTTTATTTTTACAAACCACGCATTTTTATGTATTCTAAGAAATTATATGTAAAATTAATTTGCTCACAGGTAGGTGTTGATGTCTGTTTAATAACAATAATAATAGGTTAGTGGCATTACGTAATTCTATTAATAGTAGAATATACGTTTTTGAGGGGAATAACATTTGGGTGTGCCGCAAGTAGAAAAAGGTTGCGGAACACTGATCTAGAGGAAATTTGTTTCAACCTCATACAGGTTGGAACAAATTTCCTAGTTGACCCCAAGTCATACCTTGCTTTAGTTCAATCTATTTGAGTTGTTAGGTATATTGATGTGAGGTTTGCTGATTATAATACAAAAAAAAAAATATTATTTTAAACATTCATTACTTTATATATATATTCAATTATTATTTAATGTAGCAAAAAATATGGAATATTCAAAGTGGCAGCCAAACTCTTGTGGATAAAACAAAACAAGAAAAAGAAATTTATATTTTTAAAATAGTTTTACAAAACTTAACCAATTGAATAACAAAAATTAAAGCAGCCCAGAGTTACATTGAAGATATGTGATCTCTATTCTGCCATCATACTCCAGCAAACTAAAAATGCTGCTATTATTTCTCTCTCTCTTTCTTTGAAATTTTTAAGGATTTCCAAAAGATCTGAATGCTTTGAATTGTAAATTCTGAGAATGTTTGTATATAGACTTTAGTTCATAAAATACTTTTAAGAAAATTTGTTTATTAAGTAACTTTTTAAATGTATATATTTCAGGGTTGGATTAGACTTGTATGAAGGAACAGTGTGTGATAATAGAAAGGCTGGTGTCCTGGAGCCAGCAATATCAAAAATCAAATCGTTGAAGTTTGCCACAGAGGCAGCAATTACAATATTGCGCATTGACGACCTAATCAAGTTGAATCCAGAAAAGAAAGACGACCACGCTTACCAACAAGCAGTAAATGCTGGCGAACTTTAATATATTTATTAAAAAGATGAACAAAATCTCAACTTTAACAATATTTCTTACAGAACCTGAGCAAATTGCTTTACTTGAAATACTAAATATTCCCAAATATTTTTATTTCTAATACTCCTCAGAGATGGAAATTGTTTCCAACACACTAATAACTGAAGAATTAAATATTTAAAATTGTGTTTCATTACTACATATTATTTTCCTTCATTAAATTGGCAATAGTAACAAACCTAATGATAGATCTCTGTAAAAAGTCAGTTATTTTTCAATGTTATAAGGAAAAAAGCTAAAAATTCTAATATGTTAACTTCTGGGTGTAGTTTGAGAAATATTTAGGATTATTTTAGTATTCAATAAAACAGTTCTCTCATAAAAATTGTTATATATTCTTGCATTGTTAATGTATTGTCGTCTTTGTTTCAATTTTTTTAATACCATTAAACTATTTCATAAAGATGCACTTTGTCATTAATCACATTTAAAAGTTATTTGTAATAAATTAAAAATTGCTTCAGTAATAAATTGCATTTTTGTAAAAGGGTTAATTTATAGATAAAATAAATATTTGAAAAAATTTTAGTAGTCTGCTTTTTAAAAAAAAAAATTTAGCTATAGTAGTACAATGTTTACAATATTAATGTTTAAAGATGATCTTGTAATTCATGAGATATCAGGTCTTACAATTTAAGTGTAGCAAAAGCTTTATGAAGCTATTGCTTTTACCTCAAGTAAATGATGTATTCTTTTAAATAAAAGCTAGAACACCGAGTTAAATCACTAGCCCCCGTATTCACCAACACGAGTTAAACAGAGAAGTGACGAACTCGAGTTTAGATGTAACTCGAAGTCAGATTACGAGTTACTCTTCTTTCGTATTCAGATAAAAATTTAACTCTAGAGTTTCGCTACTCTAGAGTTAATATTTTAAAACAATCCTGCGTTCGAGATTAAACAAGTTTTCTTTCGTAAGCAGAGTTTTGATTGGTTGAAAGCAAACACGTGTATGAACCAGGGAGGAGACGAATAAAATAGAATAGAAACACGTGTAGAAAATGGCGGAAAGTGAAATGGAAAGCAGTGCACGCCGTAATTTTTCTAATTTTGAGAAGGAAATTCTACTTGAATTAGTCGAAAAATATAAATCGATCATTGAAAACAAGAAAACAAATGCGATTTCTTCCAAACAGAAGAGAGGCACATGGGAAGAACTAACAAAG